CCCTCCCCTTCTGGCCAGACCAGAAGCTTCTTCCTCCACCGACCCTTGGCTGGCTGTTGGGGCCCCGGGCAGCGCTGGCCTCCAGGGCTGGCTGAGCACAGGGTTCATGGCCTCAGTTATTCCGCCACCTGGTGGCCATGATGAACATTGCGCTTCTCCCTACACCCCCGCCACCCCCAGCTCCACACCCCCCTCCTCCCTCCCCCCACCCCCCACCCCGCAGGGTCTTCCTGAAGAGGCCTCTGAGGTCACTCAAGAGCAAGGTTCTCGGTCCTTCCGACCAGGCCACAGACGCTGAAGCAGTGGGAGGAGCAGGAGTTTTCCAACAAGGGGGCTGAGCCCTGACTGTAGCCCTTGGCCAGTGATTCTGACGGAGCAAGAGACTAGAGCAAGTGCCTTTGGAAGTGTCAGGGAGAAAAGTTTTGCCAAGGAACCATCCTTTTTGTCACAGGTTATCGTTGGCACTCAGGAAATATGGGAAATTCTACATTGATACCCAAAGATTCTCCTTCATTTCATTTCATCATCCTGTTATTCGTCGATTGCCTCGAGCAGGCCCCAGTAACGTCTCTTTCATCCTAGCCCTGAGATTATATTCAAGGCTATTTAGGAAAGTGAGACCCATCATTGTTACTGGTATTTGGCATATTTGGTATGCCACAGGGAGTTTGCCAGACTCTGCCCTGTGGGCAGGCTACATTCGATAGCCTGCAAGTTTGTCCAAAGTAGAAATAAGACAATAAGATGTCATAAAAGAAGTTATGTTAAGATGTCGTGGTTCCGGGATCTGGATTTTATAGTCTCTGAGTCTTGGCCGCTGATGGGATTACACGGCGCCAGGGGGCCAGGTGGTGGGTGTGACCCCCGCCTACTGGAATTTGGAGGATCTGGGTGGAAGATGCTCGACTCCAATTCGAGTAGGCTTGGAGGTCTCGGCCCCGGAACCCGCGTGGCTTTGTCCCTCTGCCAGTACCTTCATGTGTGCGGAGAGTGGTCTCAGCATGGTGGTGGCTGGTCCTGGAGGTCTTCGGCTGCCGTAGCCCTGGTCGGGGCGGGGAGGAAAGCTCAACCCGCTCCCCTCCAAGGGACTCCGGGAAGGAACACCCAGGCGCGGGGGCAGAGACTCTCCTTAGGGTTGCTTATTAAAACATCGAAGGAGGTTCCAACTAGGTACTTTATATAAGCAGCATCTTGTTGACCTCTGTAACACCCCGTGGCCTGAGTGTAAACTAGAGCCCAGGGAAAGATGGTCAGTGAGTGGCAGTTTGCATTACCATTTTGCAGTTAGATCTTTTTTTGCAGGAAGTAAAAGAAGTGGGATTATCAAAGCAGAGGAGGCAGGAAAATGCAAGATCATACGATTAACTGTTTAATATCAGGAACGAAGAAGTGCGTCACGAAGGCAGCCTGTCCCCATGTCATGTAAGAAAATACTAACTCCCTGACACTCTGGACATTTCACCAAGGCGGCGTTGGCTTTAGCCAGAACTCCATGGCGAGCTGGCCACTGACACATTCACGCCAGCTAACCTACAACTGCCAAGCCGGTGAAGGCTCTATGAGTGAGAACTACGTTGCAGAGAAATCACACACACTCAGCTTGTGCAGAAGGAAGCGGGCAGCATCCTCCGGGAGGCAACTTGACAACCACAGTTTCAAAAACATGCACATGCATGTTGGGGGCGGAAGGATAGTCTAACGGGTAGGCTCTGGCCTTGCATGTGATGAACCCAGGTTCCATCCTCAGCATCCTATATGGTCCCCTGAGCACAGAGTCAGGAGTAACCCCTGAGTCTAGCCAGGTATGGTACCGAAACCAAAAACATTAAATTTAAAATGGTTGGTTTTTTTTTTCCCTTTTGGGTCACACCCAGTGATGCACAGGGGCTACTCCTGGCTCATGCACTCAGGAATCACTCATGGCGGTGCTCGGGGGACCATATGGGATGCTGGGAATCAAACCCGGGTCGGCCACGTGTAAGGCAAACACCTTACCCGCTGTACTATCACTCCAGCCTCTTCAAAATGTTTTTACTGTGTGTGCACTGTATTGGCTCAAAAAACCCTAGGTCTAGGAGTGACTTTTCATTTTTTAAATGTATTTGAAGTGCTCTTGAAGAAATGGAGGTGAAGAGACTTGTCATGGCAGCTGCTAATAAAATTGGTGCAATGGTCCTCAATAAATTTATTAAGTAATTACTGGCTAGGTGAAGACTTACACAGACTTTACAAATTGTGTAGCAGGAAGAGACTTGCCAGTGCTCTACTCTTTCTTAATAACAATTTTCTGAGATATAATTCATGTGTCATGAATTTCACACTTTTAAAATGTGTGATTCAGTGAGATGTTCTACAGTAAGCAACCATCTCTAATGCCAGGACATTTAATCTCCTCTAAAAGAAACGTTATAAGGCTGGAGCGGTAATACAGTGGGTCCGGCGTTTGCCTTGCATGTGGCTAACATGGGTTCGATCCCCAGCATCCCTTATGGTCCCCCAAGCACTGCCTGAGCATCACTGGGTGTGACCCAAAGAAAAAAAAGATAAGAAATGTGATACTCATGAGTTCAGAAATGGTGACATCCACACCACAACCATTTCCTCCTTCCCTCAGCTCCAGCAACTATCCACCTTCTGTCTATGTATTTGTCTGATCTGCACATATCATAAAATGCAGTGATACCACACATGATCCTTTGCTACTGACTTCTTCGATCAGCATGATGTTTTCAGGGTTGTCCCATTGCTTTATTAAGAATCCATGGCTTGGAGCCAGAGTGATGGTACAGCAGGTAGACCGCTTGCCTGGCATGTGGCCAACCCGGGTTCAGTCCCTGGCATCTCCATATAGTCCCCTGATTCCTAAGTGCAGAGCCAGGAGTAATCTCTGAGCACCACCAGGTGTGGCCAAAAAAAAGCAAAAAATAAAATTAAATTAAAAAGCAAAATGAAAAGAATCCATGTCCATGTCTTGTCCAGACCTCCTGTGTTTGTCCATCCATCAACCAACATACATCTTAGTCAAGGACCTATTGCAGCAGTGAAAATTATTTCAGTAAATATTCACGAGCAAGTTCTTTGCAGACGTAAAGATGCATTTTCCATTCTACCTATATTTGTTAAACACATGTAATATTGCTGCATTTGACTTTTTGAAGGATTACAAGACTTTCCTCAAAGCAGTGGCAGCATTGTACAGTCCCTCTAGCAATGCATGCAGACACTATCCCTGTATATACTCACCAAGATCTCACATATCTTTTTTTTTTTAACCTTTTGGGTGCATGGAAAACGGTATCGATACGCATAGTTTCTGTGTACGTTTGTTTGTTTGTTTTGTTTTACTTTTTGGGTCACACCTGGCGATGCACAGGGGTTTACTCTTGGCTCTGCACACGGGAATTACTTCTGGCGGTGCTCAGGGGACCACATAGGATGCTAGGAATCTAGCCTGGGTTGGCCGCATGCAAGACTATGTGCATTTTTTAAAAACTGAATCACCATGAGATACAGTTACAAACTTTCATGATTATGTTTCAGTCATACAATGATCAAGCACCCATTCCTCTACTAGTGCCCATTCTCCACCACTGATTTTCCCAATATCCCTCCCACCACCCCACCCCTTCCCACCCCCTGCCTCTGTGGCAGGCATGTTCCCTCTTATTCTCTCTCTCTCTCTCTCTCTCTCTCTCTCTCTCTCTCTCTGTGTGTGTGTGTGTCTCTCTCTCTCTGCTTACTGTGGAACATAGTAAAAACCTCTCACTGAATCACACATTTAAAAGTGTAAAGTTCATGACACATGAATTATACCTCAGAAAAACACCCTACCCAGGTATTATGTTTTGCAATACAGGTACTAAAAGGCCACCATGTTTGGTCCTTAGTCTACTTTCAGTATGTATCTCCCATCCCGAGCGAGCCTTCCAACCATCATTTACTTAGTGGTCCCTTCTCTATCCCAGCTGCCTTCTATGTGCGTTTTTCTAATGACTAACGACACTGAGCATGTTTCTTGCTGACTTGGCCAATTTTATAACGTACATGTTGATTTTGAGCTGACAAAGCAAGATACAAATCTATACATACAGAATGAGCTCAAGATGTTTAAGAACGCAGATAAAATAATCTTTTCAGAAACAGGCAAGATGATCACTGATGACTATCTTTGGGTCGTAAGATGACAGCTGAGTTTTCTTATTTTGTTTTATTTGGGGGCCAACCCAAAGGTGCTCAGGGCTTCCTCCCGGCTCTGCACTCAGGACTCATTCCTAGCTAGCTCAGGGACTCAAACCCAGGTGGGCTGTGAACAAGGCTAGCACCATACATGCTGCACTATCGCCCGACCCCAGGTGACTAATTTTTCTTGTCTGTTGCAACCCCTTTTGTGTATTCCAAATACCGTGGAGGAGTAGGAATGACTTTGATGAGACTCAGTGAACAGACACTGGAGGTGAAGGGTGGGGCAGGGTTTGGAGAGAGGGACCACACCTTAGCATTGGTCTGCCTATTGATCGCGTTGGTCAACAGTGGGACTTTGGGTTTTCAATGGCTGCCCTCCGCCTCCTACCCCCACCCCATGACTAGAGGAGCAGGGTTCCAGCAAGGAGGCTTGGCAGGGAAAGCCAGTGAGTGACTGAGGGCTGCCTGGAGGAGATGGCACAGAACTGAGTTCCATGGAATCTCTCTGCTGTGAGTAGACCAAGGAGAAAGATTTCCTTCCGGCCTGCACAATGCCCATTCCTGCAAGTTCTTGAACACCCCACCACCACCACCACCATCCTGCCAGGCTCATGGACCAACAAACAAAAAGGACTTGGACTGGGGCTGGCCAGGGCTTGGCATGGGATTAAGAGTAGTTTTCTGCCAAGTGAACGGACTATGCGTTAATCCAGGCCATCATGTCTGCCCGGAGGGGAAAGGGTGTTGCCCCATTCGCCCTCTCCTCTCTGGAAAGAAGATGGCGGCCACATGGGTGCCTTGTGGAAAGCAGGTGTGAGCCGGGGGTGTGCGGGCGACTAAAACCTCATGGGAAGGGGGGCGTTCCGGTCCGTCCTTCATGCCCTACCGAGGCCACCAGTTGCCCCCCACGAGCGGCTCTCCAGCACGGCCACGACTCCAGAGCACAGAAACCAATCTCTTAATTATCTGACTCTCAGTAGAAATACTTCCAGGGTTAATTAGTAAAATAGCGGAAATCCCAAACCAACATTTAATTCTTGAACCCAACTGTAGAAAGCGAATCACTTCACAATGCTTTTTCAGCATGTCTGATTGGGGGGGGGGGGTAAACTCTAAATAATAGTGGTGCATCTTTTATTGCAACAATGAATCTAATCAAAGCAGATAGAGTGTCAACTAGAATTCATCTGCCTCGCAGGCATTGGGAGGGGTGGGGGTGGAGTTTTATTGGGGTTCTTTGTGGTAAAAAATAAGTAATGGTAAAGGGAAAGGTGTTTGATATTTGCATGACTGAGACCTAAACCTGAAAGCTTTGTAACTTTTCCCACAGTGATTCAATAAATAAATAAATTATAAAAATAAAAAAAAAATAAAAAAGAGTAGTTTTCTGCCTCTGTGGCTGGAGCGATAGCACAGCGGGTAGGGCATTTGCCTTTCACGGCCGACCAGGCCAACCAGAATTCGATTCCTCTGCCCCTCTCGGAGAGCCCGGCAAGCTACCAAGAGTATCTCGCCCTCACAGCGGAGCCTGGCAAGCTACCCATGACATATTCAATATGCCAAACACAGTAACAATAAGTCTCACAATGTTAATGGGCCCGCTCAAGCAAATGGATGAACAACGGGGAGGACAGTGACAGTGGCCCAAAAAGGCTAATTCTCAGTTTCCTCCCCTACCAAGGAGCTGGATGTGTGTGTGCGTGAGAGGAGGTGCCGCTGGCACTCATTGAGGATGAAGCGCAAAGCAGTGCCCGGGGGCCTACAGCAAATAGCCAAGCGCTCTCACTCAGGGCTGCAGGAGCGCTATGGTGGTGGTGGTGGGATGGGGGGCGCGACAAACCACGGGGGTGGAGGGCACGTGGCCCCCTGCGGATCTCTAGGGGCGGGGCTCGAGGCTGTACCTCCAAGCACAGCCTGACCGACACAAGGCAAGGCCAGCACCGGCGCGGGGCAGGCAGGCGCGGGGCAGGAGCAGGGCAGGGCGGAGGCGGGGAAACTGACGCATAAATACAGCCGATGAGGGGGCGCCGGCAAAAACTGAGGAGCAGAAACACTTCTGTTCCCGCACGCGTGCCAGGGAGCCGGCGCCCCTCCCGCCTGCAGCCGAGCGGGGTGCGCAGGGGAGGGGCGGCCCCGCAGAGGTGGGGTGCCGGAGCTGCGTGCGTGCGGTGTAGACGACCCGGGCGCGGGTGTAGACGCCCGCTAGCAGGCGGAGGTGGGCGCCTTTCCGGCGGAGCAGGAGTGCGCGGTCCACCGGGCGCGGGGTCTTTTGGGCAGCAGCTGGGGGTCCTGGCCGTGCCACCTCCGCGAGATCTCGGTCCTCACCTTGGGGACAAGGGCGAGGGCGTCAGAGAGGCCCCAGACCCCCCCGAAACCCGTCTGGGGGGCTGACGTGAACGGGGATGCACATGGGGTGCCTGCGCCCGGAGAGATGGGAGAGAGGTCCCAAGGGAGCTGCCGCACCTCGCGCCCGGCGCGCAGGAGCCACCACACTCAGGGCCCCAGGTCCTGGTGCTGCGCTGACTCCGCTATGGTCGACGTGGGCTCCGAGGGGGTCTTCGGGCCAGTCCAGCAGAGGACCCGGGTGGCCTGTAGCCAAGCTCCGCGCACAGCAGCCGGGCACCGGCACTGCAGGGGCGCGGCCAGCAGGGGGCGCCCCGGGCCCGGCCTAGAGCCGAGCGCCACGCTTGGGCGCGGGGCCACCCCTGCGTCCTTGCTTTATATTTTACACGCTGTTGCACCTCTGCCCAGCTGTTCACCTGCACGGGCCCCCGGGTCCGGTCCACTCGGGATCCGTCTCTCTGCTCTGCAGCATCCTCGTTCCCAGTTCCCTAAATGAACCACCTCTGAAGTTCTTTCTTTCACTGCCTCTGTTTCCCCTCTCAACACCCCCTCCCCCTCCACCCCCACCCAGGTGGCTGCTCCCCTGGTCCCAAGGTCCCCTTTCTTCAAATTGTAGAATACAGAAATGGATCCTGTTTCCGCGTCCCCACGTGACCGCCTCCATTTCCGGACAGCAAACTGGCCGAGCCCAGGGGAGGGACAGTTGAAAGGTGCACGGACAGCTTCCGTTTCCCGGAAGATTGTAAGGCTGCAAAGAGGGGCCCGCAGCGCGGGAAAGTGAGGGCTCGGGAAAGGCGGGTGTGGAGACGCCTACCTCTTGGTTGAGGAAGCAGTACAGGACAGCCACGATGAAGCCCTGGGGCCAGAGAAAAGGAGTGCACCTGAGTATCTGGGCGCCACGCCCCCACTCCCCCCAGGGGCCCAGACTTCCTACTACTCCCCCTGAGAGACTCCGGACTGTGGCTAAACCAGGATTTGGGGCAAAGGAAAGGTAGATGCTTCCAACACTGACTGTATGTGTCAGACAAGTTATCTCATGCCACACCATACCAAGTCTGCAAAGGCTATGCTGCGGGCATGAGTCTCTGATTTTCCTTGATTATATATCTCTTAGTATTAAGCACAAAGCCTAGAATGTGATTTTTAAAAATCTAGTGCTTAATAAAGGTAAAGACCCTCCCGTTGATCGTCGATTTGCTCGAGCGGGCCCAGTAACGTCTCCATTGGAGACTTTGTTGTTACTGTGTCTGGCATATCCAATACTCTCGGTAGCTTGCCGGGCTCTCCGAGAGGGGCGGAGGAATCAAACTCGGGTCGGCCATGTTGGCCGCTTGTAAGGCGAACGCCCTACCCGCTGTGCTATCGCTCCAGTTGGATAAAGGATAGGTGGGTGAGCAGATGGATGGGTGGGTGGATGGATGAGTGGGTAGGTAATAGATGAGTGGGTACAAGGACAGGTGGGTGTGTGGGTAGATGGGCAGGTGGGTGCGTGGATGGTTGAGTGGACATATGGGTAGGAGATATATGTGTGCTGGTGGGTATATGGATAGATGAATCAATAGTAGGTGGGTGGTGGGTGGATGAGTGGATGGATGAATGGATGGACAGACGGATGGATGCATGGATGGATGGATGGTAGGTGAGTGGCTGTATGGATTGTTAGGTGATGAACGGATGGATAGGTGATGGGTGGATATGTATGCGAGTGGGGATAGGTGAATGGATGGACAGGAAATAAATAGATGGACGGATGAATAGGTGAGGGTGCAGGTGGTAGATTGACAGTTGCATGGATGCGTAGATGCATGGATAGATAGGTGCATAGATGAACAGGTGCATGGGTGGACAGGTGCATAGATGAACAGGTGCATGGGCGGACAGGTGCATGGGTGGATGGGTGCATGGATGAATAGGCTCATGGACGGATAGTGCATGGGTGGACGGGTGCATGAGTAGATAGGTGCATGAACAGATAAGTGTATGGATGGACAGATGTATGAATGCACAGGTGCATGGGTGGATAGGTGCATGGACAGACAGGTGCATGGGTGAATGGGTGCATGGATGGATAGGCGCATGGATGGATAGGCTCATGGACGGATAGTGCATGGGTGGACAGGTGCATGGATGGATAGATGCATGGATGGATAGATGCATGGGTGGACAGGTGCATGGACAGATAGGTGCATAGGCAGACAGGTGCATGGACAAATAGATGCATGGATGGATAGGTGCATAGGTGGATAGGTGCATGGGTGGGTGGTAGTTGGATGAAGGGATAGGTTGGTGAGTGGGTGGGTGGGTGGGTGGGTGGGTAGTTGGATGGATGGGTTGGTGAATGGATGATGGCATGCACAAGAGTGGGTGCAGGTGGATGGATGGATTGGTGGGTAGGTTAGTGGCTGGGAGGGCTGGCTGGGTGGGTGGGTGGATGTATAGGTATGAGTGCTGGTGGGTGAATGGATGAATATATAGGTAGGTGGGTGGGTGTGTCAATGGACAGATGATGGATGATAGCATGCAGGAATGGAGGGAAAATGTGGCGTTAGGTCAGTGCAAATGTCGTTGAGTACATAGAGATGGCAAGATGGCAGACAGACAGCTGAGTGGATTAATGAGTGCCCAGAAGCTTTTACACCCAGCAGTGGTTTCCTTCCCCTACCCTAGTACCCCACCTGTGGGCACAGCCCTGTCCTCCTGCCCAAGGGTGCAGGGGAGAGCCTGTGGGTCTGCACCTGGAATGATCCCAGCCCCAGCTCAAGGGGAAGACGAATATTTAGGCCGGTGCTGTCAGGCAGGAAGTTGAAGATGATGTAGTGGATTCCAAACAGTGGGATGAGGAGAAGCGTTGACTTGGAGAGCCGCCTGGAGGAGAGGAGAGCTCTGGGCTCCTGCATGTCTCTGCCCACTCCCACCTCCCGCAGGCCCTCCAACCCCTCCCCCCATCATGTCCACACACCAGCACCAGGAGAGCTCCCTTGTCCTCCCACACTCCCCAAGCCTTCTTATTGCAGGACAAGGGACCCTGCACTCCCTTCTGCCAAGCTCTTTTCTCCATTCACTCCAGTCAGAGGATTTGTGTGCATCATTCAAAGTCTAGTTCAAAGACCCTTTCCTCCAAGAAGTCCTCCCTGACCATTCCCTGACCTTCACTCCCCATCTAGAATCTCCATCCATGGGATCCTAGTACCCATCAATTTATTTGACCTGCTCATTGACTATCTGGAGTCTTCAGCACACACTGTAACCCCCTGGAGGGCAGGGACACATCTGTCCTCTCTGGGATCATGGGAGGAGCAAGGGACCAGGACTCTGAAAGCTTAGTTGTGAATGAAACAGAACCAAACTGATTCCCACACCAGTGTCCCACACATAGTCACACACTCTCACACATAAACTCACACATTTACAATATACACTTGCACACACACTGTTTCACACACATATACACTCACGTACACACAGTGTCACATTCACACACAGGTACACACTTAGACACACACTTTTACACATACACCCATAAGATCTCACACATATACGTACACTTCCACAGTCACACACTTAGACTCACACATATACACTCAGACATACTGTGTCACGCTTACACACAAGCACGTGTGCACGCTCTCACAAACACCTTCCCTCACATACCCTCACACATGCACCCTCTCTCACACGCTCACACTCATACCCTCACACACACTCGCACATGCTCACACCTTCCCTCAGACACATATCCCACATACACCCACACACACAGCCTCTCTGTGTCTCTTTCTCTCTGTCTCTCTCTGTCTCTCTCTCTGTTTCTCTCTCTCTGTCTCTCTCTGTCTCTGTCTCTCTCTCTCTCTCTCTCTCACACACACACACACACAAACATGTTCTCTCTCTCTCACACACACACTACCAGTACTGAGACTGCGTGTGCGGGCTGCCCTGGGCTGGCTCCAGTTTCCTCAGCAGGATGCGGATAATGTTGAGAAAAAGTCCAAAGTTCACCTGAAAATAGAAGAGCAAGAAGATGGAAGGCAAGAGTGAGTGGGGCCCTTGGTGACCTGGGTCAGGGCCTCTGTAGGGTGCAGAAGCCCCAGATTCCTGAGCCAGGCCTGTGCAGGTGAGTGCAGCTCTGACAGAGCTCCGTTCTAGGACGCAGAGCCTGGGGAATTCCTCTGGAGCTCAGGGGTCCCACCCGCCCCCAAGACCTGAGGCCAGCGGGGAGTCAGGCCAGCCCCCTGCCTTCAGTACCACCCAAGCACAAGCAGCTGCTGTCACTGAGGATCTGGGAGACTCATGGGGGGGCATGCTCCCGGCCCCAAAGGGCCCCCAATCCTGCAGCCCTGTTTGCAGGGAGCAGGCGGGCTGCGGTTTCCACACCCCTCTGCTTTCCCCAGCGCATCTTCTCATTGCTGGAAAGGCTGGCTGGCCGCGGGGGCACGGATGCGTGCAGCTGGCGGGACCGCTGAAGAGTCTGTGGGCTCAGGGTGAGCCGTGGTCCCCACAGTGGATGGCCCTGGGGAAGCCTGGGGGTTCTGGAGCCCACTGACCCCAACGGAGAGCACTATGGGCCCTTTGATTATCCACCAGTAGGGGGAGCTGTCGTCCAGGTCCCAGCACCTGCGGGGAGGAAGGCGGTACTGAGGGGTTCAGGCAAAGTCATCCCCACTGCTCCCCAGCTCCTCTGTTCTCTCCCCCTGGAGTCTTCTCTTGCCTGTTCTCGGCCCACGAGAATGACGCCCGTCCTGCAGGCTCCCCTCTCTCCCCACCCAGACCAAGAAGTTGTTCTGGGTGAGCCTTTCCGCCCCCTCCTTGCTGGCCTGACCCTTCCCTGTCCCAGGAGACTGACACCCCAGTCCTCTGCCCAGCGCACAGCCTGAGAATCAGCACCCCCCGGTCACCAGCTCACACCCCCGGAGCTACTCACGGGGGAGTCCTGCCCCAGACATTCGTCACCTCCCTGCTGGGAGAGCGGCCCGGCTGCCCACCCCAGTCCATATCCCTCTCCACGCAAACCAGGGCATAGGAGGTGACCCAGTGGCCACCCCAACTCACGCCGTGTCCTCGAAGGCCATTTTGCATATCACCCAGGTGCCAGTAAAAAGCAGGGGAAGGCCTGCGGGCACAGAGGAGACGGGGATGGGTGGGCCGCCTCCACCCCCATCTCCCACCCCAGCCCCTGGAGGCCCACGTGGCTGGCATCCCATGACCAGAACCTGGAGTTCACGGGGCTGGTCCAGCTCCTCTCTGGGGCTACCCTGGAAAACAGACGGCAACTTTCTTTCTTTCTTTCTTTCTTTCTTTCTTTCTTTCTTTCTTTCTGTTCCTTTTCCTTTTATTTTTGCTTTTTTGGTCACACCCGGCGATGCACAGGGGTTACTCCTGGCTCTGCACTCAGGAATTACTCCTGGCCGTGCTCAGGGGACCATATGGGATGCTGGGAATCAAACCCGGGTCTGCCGCGTGCAAGGCAAATGCCTTACCCGCTGTGCTATCACTCCAGCCCCGCAACTTCGTTCTGATCATGCTCAGCCTCAACTTCCCCCGATGCCCCTGCAAGCGGGCCCTGGGCACTCACCCCAGCCGGCCAGCACCAGCCCCCAGAAGGCTCTCCGGGTGCAGGGGGTCGGCGAGGCCAGGAGACAGGTGAGGTACACAGCTTCCACCCACAGCCAGCTGAAGTTGGTCATGGTGGCGAAGTGGGAGGTGGCCACTGAGACTTTGCACAGGACCTGGGGGTCAGGGAGCATCACCCGGGGGCACCCATCAGGGTCTGAGTCTGCCCTGCTCCATGCGGACTCCAAACCTCCAGGGTCTTTCAGCTTGAGGCAACCCAGAAGGGACTGTGGTGGTCAAGAGCACGGACCTCCTGGGTTCAAATGCGCTTTCTAGATCACCCCAACTCCTCCTCCAGAGGGAAGACCCCATTTTAAGGCCCTCTTTGGGGGACCTCAGATGCCCCAGAACCCATCCCAGCACCATTAAGGAGCAGGCCAGTGTCTGAGTGTCTCATCGACAGAACAGGGTAGACCGAGTTCAAACCTGGGCAGAGGTGGCCCCCAAGTCGTGCTAGGGGTGTCCGGTAGCTCTCAAGCATTCCCTCTGGGTTGGCCCTATAGTCCTGAGCACCCCAAGCCCAGCAAGAACAAGACTGGCAGTGCCTGAGGGTGCCCAAGGGCCGATTCCTGCTAAGGGAGCCCCCCCACACACACACCCAGGAGCACTGAGTATGCACGGACGGGTCACCTCCCAGGCACTGAACACCCCGGCTTCTCCTCCTGGAAGCTCCTTCCACCTGGCAGATTGGGGAAGCTCCCCACGCTCCTCTCCCCAGACCCTTAACTCCCCGCACCCCCCCTCCCAAAAGCTGGAAAGGTGGTGTGGGCTGGAATTCAGGAGAGAAAGCGACTGAGAATAGGACACAGCGGGGGACCCCAGGCAGGAGGTCCAGGGGGCGGGCTCTGGCCTGTGCTGTGATTGACAGAGACGGGGGCCACTCAGCACTCGGCCTGAGTCTCTAGCCCCGCCCCCCCAACCCATCCCGTCGCCCTGACCGTGGAGAAGCTGCAGTGGTCCGTGGTGTCTCCGTGGAAAAGGGTGGCGTCCTTCAGGAACACGGCCCCCGCCTTGAGGATGAAGGTGGCGAACAGCTGCGTGTGGATGTAGTTCCTGGGGCAGTGCAGCCTCCTGGAGGGGTGGAGTGGGGAGGGCGCTGAGGGGCTGGGGCCACCGGGCAGGTTTGGGGGTGAGCGCAGCAGGTGCTGGCTGCGGGGGGTGAGGGGTTGCCCTGGTCTCCGTAGGGCGGGGACAGCCCCCCCCCCATGTGTGACTGCAGGGAGCTCGTGGCCAGGGGAGCAGGAGAATGTGGTCGGCTGGGCAGATAGCTTGGACGGGTTGGGTTGGGGGGCTCAGGCCCTCAAGTGGGGTTACCTAGGGGGGCTGAGGACGGCCGGTCAGAACAGGCAAGGGGGGGGCTGGAGAAGAGAGGGCTGAACCCCTCGCAACAATGAGAGCGGCCAGAGAAGCTCAAGTCTCTGTCCCGTCACCCCCTTTCCAGTTCAAAGGAGCCCTAGTCTGCCCCAAATCTGCCTTCTTTAAGGGAACAGATAAAGTGCCCCCGTAACAGACTGTCCCAGCTCCTGGGAGGGTGGCCCCCACTCGGGATGCTGAGACAGGAGGGAGGGCCAGTGAACCTGAGAGCCACCAGGATGACCACAGCGATGCAGAGTGCCGCCGTGGACACGCCGTGGCCCAGGGTGTAGATGAGCTTCACCGTCCAGAAGTAAGATTTCTGCAGGGAGAGAGGAAGGCTCAGGCAGAGCGCCCCTGGATGAGGAAGCCCGGGTTCAACCCCCAGCACCTCCGGGTGTGGCGACACCCACAAACACACCAAACACTAAGGTGCCTACAACACGTAGGGCACTTGCCATGCACACAGCTGACAAGGGCTCTGTCTCCAGGACCCCATATGGTTCCTAAGCACTACCAAGAGTGAACCCTGAGCACAGAGCCAGGAGTGAGCCCTGAGCACAGAGTCAGGTATGAACTCTGAGCACAGAACCAGGAGCAAGCCCTGAACACAGAGCCAGGAGTAAGCCCTGAGCACAGAGCCAGGAGTGAGCCCTTGCAGAGCCAGGAGTGAGCCCTTGCAGAGCCAGGAGTGAGCCCTGAGCACAGAGCCAGGAGTGAGCCCTGAGCACAGAGCCAGGAGCAAACCCTGAGCACAGAGCCAGGAGCAATTCCCGAGCACAGAGTCAGGAGTGATCCCCGAGCACAGACCAGGAGTAAGCCCTGAGCACAGAGCCAGGAGTGATTCCTGAGCACAGAGTCAGGTATGAGCTCTGAGCACAGAGCCTGGAGCAAGCCCTGAACACAGAGCCAGGAATGAGCTCTGAGCACAGAGTCAGGAGAAATCCCTGAGCACAGAGCCAGGAACGAACTCCGAGCACAGAGCCAGGAGTGATCTTTTGCAGAGCCAGGAGTGAACCCTGAACACAGAGCCAGGAGTGAGCCCTAACCACAGAGCCAGGAATAAGCCCTGAGCACAGAGCCAGGAGCAAACCCTGAGCACAGAGCCAGGAGAGATCCCCAAGCACAGAGCCAGGAGTGATCCCTGAGCACAGAATCAGGTATGAACTCTGAGCACAGAGCCAGGAGCAATCCCCGAGCACAGAGCCAGGAGTGATTCCCTTGCAGAGCCAGGAGTGAGCCCTGAGCACTGCTGGGTGTGGTCCAAACACCAAAACTAAAAATTAACAATAACCATCCCAGCAGCCAGGCTGGGGGAAGGAGGTGTGACAGCTGGCAGAGATGTCAGCCTGCACCCTGGGAGAGGGTCCCTGGGGACGCGGAACACGGTTCTGAGCAGAGCCCTTGTTTACAGCTGCTCCTGCTACAGACCAGGCCCAGCCGGGCTCTGCAGTGGGGGCGGGGCCCAGCGCCGGCCAGTCCCAGGAGAGCGCAGGAGCTGGAGAAGGAAGCAGGGCTTGTTTATGGACATCCAGCCCGCTCACCGCTGGAGAACATGACGTCCCAGTGAAGGGGACAGCTGGGGACAAGGGCAGGCAGGCAGAGTCGCCTGGCCCAGAGGTAGGGAGGTGCAGATGGGTCACAGACCCAGTCTCTGCCCGCTAGAGGCCCTCCCCGCCTCTCCCCACTGTCCTTCTCCTGAGACGGCCCTGCTTCTGCCCTACCTCACAGGGCCCAGGGGAGAGGTGGCCAGGAGGCTCCGGGAGAGGCTGGACAGCGGCTAAGGCAAGAGGCCCTCACGGGTTAGTCCCTGCACCTTACATGGCCCTTGAGCCCCGGCAGAAGTGATTCCCTATCACAGAGCCAGGAGTAAGGCCCAAGCACTGCCCAGGGAGGGAGGGAGGGAGGGAGGGAGGGAGGGAGGGAGAGAAGGAGGGAGGGAAGGAAGGAGGGAGGGAAGGAGGGAGGGAGGGAGGGAGGGAGGGAGGAAGGAAGGAAGGAAGGAAGGAAGGAAGGAAGGAAGGAAGGAAAGGAGGGAGGGAGGGAGGGAGGGAGGGAGAGAAGGAGGGAGGGAAGTGAAGGAAGGAAGGAAGGAAGGAAGGAAGGAAGGAAGGAAGGAAGGGAGGGAGGGAGGGAGGGAGAGAAGGAGGGAGGGAAGTGAAGGAAGGAAGGAAGGAAGGGAGGGAGGGAGGGAGGGAGGGAAGGGAGGGAAGAAGGAAGGAAGGGAGAGAAGGAAGGGAGGGAGGGAGGGAGAGAAGGGAGGGAGAGAAGGGAGGGAAGAATGAAGGAAGGAAGGGAGGGAAGGAAGGAAGGAAGGGAGGGAAGGAAGGAAGGAAGGAAGGAAGGGGGAGAGGGAGGGGGAGAGAGAGAGAGAGAGAGAGAGAGAGAGAGAGAGAGAGAGAGAGAGGAGTGGGGTCTGGGGTAGGCCTGCCTTGCACAGGCCCTGCCCAGTTGGGTCCACTGGATGAGGGGGTCTCCACTGTCACTTCTGTGCTTGATCCCCCTCAGTGCCCAAACAGCCATGCCTTGGGTGCTGCAGACCAAGGTCGGAGAAGGGCGGGAACTGCCGGGACAGCCCAGGGCTTTTGCTTCCCCAGAACCAACCCGAACTCCTGGCCCAAGGAGCAGCGTCTCCCCTGCCCGCTGGCTCCCACCGACAGGATCAGGGCCCTGAGCAAAGCGGCAGAATCCCTCTCCTCCCCCTGCGCCCTGTCCTCTGCAGAGCCCGGGATGGCGGCACTGACCGTACCTATAAGGCGGCTCCCACAAGGCTGCATGCCCCTACCTCACTGCTCCCTTTCCCCCAGGGACACCCAGCCTCTCCCCTTCCCCCGGGACCCTCATCCTCTACCCCTCCCCCCGGGACCCCCAGCCTCTCCCTCTACCCCCTGAGACACCCAGCCTTTCCCGCCCCCCCCACTCCCAGCCTCTCCCCTTCCCCCGGGACCCTCAGCCTCTCCCCTTTTCCCTGGGACCCCCCAACCTCTCCCCCTTGCCCCAGGATTCCCCACCTCTCCCCCTCTCCCCCCGCCCCCGGGACCCCCAGCCTCTCACCTCCTCGGCCAGCTGCTCCAGGGGAATAGGGCAGGCCTCCGGGTAGGGCGGGAAAGGCACAGACCAGCCCGAGGTGGTGCAGTCCCTGGTCACCAGCCCTGGGGAGCGAGCACCTGCCCTTGCAGCCCCCGCAGGGTGGGCCGCAGAGCCCCGCAGGAGTCAGGAGTTCCCAGCCCTGGGTTCCAGGTACCCAGCGGGACACACTCTGGAGTTGCCCCCCCCCCAAGGTCAAGGTCGCTGAGCGGGTCAGTGCTGAGTCAGGTTCGCTTCCCTGAGGGGCAGAGCTGGGACTTGGGGCCTAAGGGTGGTGTCACTGTGGGTGCGGGGGTCTGTGTGGAGCCACTCCCTGCAGCCCGAGGGTGCGTTTGCTCAGTGCTGAGTTCCAGTGCAGTGACCCCCCTCCCCCTTCCAGTGTCACTCATGGTCCCCGACTCTGGGAGGCTCACGCTCCATCTCTACTGGCCTCAGGGACGGCTGATGACGGGCCTGGGTCCCGCCACCCAGGGAAGCTGCTGTTCCTGCCCCATCTGCCTGGCTCCGAGCCAGGGCGGCATCCGCTGTGGTCTGCCTGGCAGAGGGAAGCCCCTTCCTCCTGGCCCCCACAGCCCCCGGCACCCTCACCTGGCTCCGAGCTGAAGTGAGAGAAGAAGCCCGGGCAGGGGAGAGTGACCCACTCGCCAGAAGCCACCGGCGGCCAGCATAGCAGCCCATCCCAGGTCCTGGGGCAGCCTGGACAGGAGCAGAGAGCGGGCTAGCCGGCCTCGGCCCCCAGGACCCCCAGAGGGCCGCCACCCCAGCCCATATCAGCCCATACCAAGAGAGCTGTTGGGTATCCCCACTGCTGCCTGCATGCACGTGCGCTCGTCCTCGCTCAGCTGGGCCAGGAGGTCACACTCGGGGTGCACGCGGCTCAGCACCTGCGGGGAGAGGGATGCAGGGGCCAGGCCGTGGCCGTCCCCTCTTCCCTGCCCCCCAGGATGAGGACAGGGACGACCTGGGCTTCACTCCCGCTCCCAGGCACGGCAGTGTGGGACACCTGGGTGCTCATTACTCCTCCCTGGGACCCACTGAACAGTACTCGCTCAGAAGGTCGCGGCGTGGGCCAGAGAGATTGTACAGTGGGCAGCGTGCTGGCCTGTGCTCGGCCAACCTGGGTTTGATCCCTGACACCCATATGGTCCCCCAAGTCCCGCCAGGAGTGATCCCTGAGCACAGAGCCGGGAGTGAACCCTGAGCACAAAGCTGGGAATAGGCCCTGAGCACAGAGCCAGGAGTGAGCCCTGAGCACAGAGCCAGGAGTGAGCCCTGAGCCAGGAGTGAACCCTGAGCACAGAGCTGGGAGTGATCCCTGAGCACAGAGCCAAGAGTAAGCCCTGAGCACAGAGCCAGGAGTGAGCTCTGAGCACAGAGCCAGGAGAGAGCCCTGAGCCAGGAGTGAACCCTGAGCACAGAGCTGGGAGTGAGCCCTGAGCACAGAGCCGGGAGTGAGCCCTGAGCACAGAGCCAGGAGTGAGCCCTGAGCCAGGAGTGAACCCTGAGCACAGAGATGGGAATAGGCCCTGAGCACAGAGCCGGGAGTGAGCCCTGAACACAGAGCCAGGAGAGAGCCCTGAGCACAGAGCCGGGAGTGAACCCTGAGCACAGAGCCGGGAGTGAGCCCTGAGCACAGAGCCGGGAGTGAGCCCTGAGCACCGTCAGGTGTGTGTGGCCCACGGGTCAAAGAAAGATGAAAGAGAAAGGAAGAAGATCAGAGGGAGGTGGTGGGCCCAGGACTCCAAGAGGCTCTCTGCCCTCTGACCGCCACTCATTGCCTGCTCCCTGGAACTGTTTCTGCATAAGGCGGCCTGCAGGGCAGAACAGTGTTCCCCGACCTCACCTCCTCGTTCTTGAATCCTGTGAACTTTTCACTTTACCTTGCAAAGGACACTCTGTTTCTTTCTTTTCCTTTTTTTTTTCTTTTGGGTCACGCCCGGAATGCACAGAGGTTAGTCCTGTCTCTGCACTAAGGAATTACTCTTGGCAGTGCTCAGGGGGCCATATGGGATTCTGGGAATGGATGGCTGGGTGGGTGGATGGATGGATGGATGGATGGATGGATGGACGGACAGATGGACAGATGGACAGACGGACGGTTGGATGGATGGATGGGAGCATGGGAGGTGAACTGACAAGGGAACAGAGGGCTTCTCGTCCTGCTGTGCAGCTCAGCAGCATATGGAATTAGAGTTTTGAGAGTTGCCCCGAATCTGGTGTGGTGACAGGGAATGTCTCTGAGAGCTGGAAAGCAAGGAAATCCTCGGGCAATATTCTGAAGGTGCCCCTGGAGCAGGCGGGAGATCCCCGGGACAGAGCCAGGAGAAAGCAGACATCTCCAACGGGCCCCTGATTCTGCATCTGTGACTCTGAAGCAGGAGATCCACCACCTCCACCCCTGCCTGAGAAAATGCAGTCATGAATATGGCTCCGGGTGGGGGCAGGGAGGGGTGTGGGAGAACCAGGGGTGGGAACCAGGGAAAGAGTGCGCCTGGAGGGTCTGGATCTGCCTCCAGGGCTCTGAGGGCCCCCCTGAGGGGACAGTCTGGCCCCAGGGAGGCCGCTGGAGGCTGGTCAGCTGAGCCCAGAGGTTTGAGGAGTCAGAGCAGCAGAGATGAGTTGGTGAGGGGTGAGCACAGGAGGGTGAGGGACTCTGGGGAAGCCAGCCCACATCTGCCCTGCCAAGCACCCCACCGGGGTCCCCTCAAAGCCCCAACCGTATCCCATATAGCCCGGCTCTCAGACCTGGAGCCCAGCGAGCAGGGCCCAAGCGGGCTACTCACCACTGGAAATGAGCCCAGCAAGCAGAGGACGCAGGCACCCCACGCCCTGCCGTCCATGATGGCTCGCAGACTGTCAGCTGTCCTGTCCCCCAGCCCGGCTGCTGTCCCTGCCGCTGATGCTGAGGCCCTGCTCGGGAGGCTGTTTGAATAGGCAGGAAGTGGCCTCAAGCACAGGCCTCTGAATATTCAGACCTCTGAACACAGCAGCCCTGGCAGACAGGAGCACACACAGGCACACACACACGGACACACACGTACGTACATATGCACGTAAGTGCAGGCACACAGGAACCAGAGCAATACCACAGCAGGTAGGGAACTTGCCTTGTATGTGGTGGACCAGGGTTCAATTCCCATATGGTTCTCCTGAGCACTGCCAGGAGTAATTCCTGAGTGCAGAGCCAATGGCCAAAAATAAATCTCCCATTGTTCATCGATTTGCTCAAACGGGCACCAGTAACGTCTCACAACAAATTGTGAGACTTGTTGTTACTGTTTGGGGGCATATAGAATACATCATGGGAAGCTTGCCTGGCTTTGCCGTGTGGGCGAGATACTCTTGGTAGCTTGCCAGGCTCTCCGAGAGGGGCACAGGTATCGAACCCGGGTCGGCCGCGTACAAGGCAGACGCCCTGCCCGCTGTGCTATCGCTCCAGCCCAAACTCAGTTTAAATCTTGACCTTACAAATAAACAATTACAAGAAAGAATTAAACACTCTACCTACAGATGAGTAGTGATTTCCTTCTTCTATTATTTATAGGTGACTGTAATTAAAATCCGTGAAAATAAATCAAAAATAAATAAGCAAACAGTCCAAATACTCAAACATGCAAATAAACAAGTGCACACACACAGACACACACACAAACACACAGACATACATATGCACACCCCCTTTTGTGACTGAACCTCCCCACACACACCCTGCCCATCTGTCTGTTTCAGAGAAGGGTGCAAGGTGACAGCCAGGGGACACTCCTGTCCCCATGGGGTTATGTTCTATACCATCTTCTCCACAGCCGAGGTAGGAGGCCTTCTGCCCAGCCACCCTGCAGGACCCCCCAAAGGCCCCCCAGTGGGGATACAGGAAGGAGGAGGTGGGACCCGCCTGCAGGGTGGTTGTGGGGCTGGGGTGGCAAGCCTTGTGGTGGGGGCAGGCGGGCGCTTGCTAAAGGAAGCTGAGCTCAGGGCAGGCCTCCAGGGGGTGGGGGATGCACCTACCTTTTTTTTCCCCCACTGGGAAGTGAGCAGCTGTGGAAGGGTCTGGTCCCTGCCACTGAGAACGCATCTCCCCTGCATCGCCTCCTCTATCCTCCCAACTCAACCCTGAGAGCCTGGAGGTCGGAGCCCTGATACTTGCTGCATCCGGCTGGGGTCCTGCGCAGAACAGAAAGGTGGGTGCAGGGACTGGAGCAATAGCACGGCAGGTAGGGCGTTTGCCTTACACGCGGCCCATCTGGGTTTGATTTCCAGCATCCTATATGGTCCCCTGAGCACCACCAGGGGAAATTCCTGAGTGCAGGAGCCAGGAGTAACCCCTGTGCATTGCTGGGCTAATGGGCATATATGGGGGGAGCGGGAGAGGGCTGGGGCAGGGGCTGGAGAGTCCTGGATGTTTCCTGTGGCCCGGGGGCCTCGCACATGTTTACCAACTGAATCATGAAAGATGCAGCAACAGAGCACTGCCGCCTTGCATCACTCCTTTCACAGGTGGGATTTGTTTTTCCACTTGGATTGGACGTCAACAAAGAGCCGAAGGCAAAATATTTTGAACAGAAGACTTAACTGCTTGCCTTGCATTTACTTGACCCCAGATGGATCCCCAGTATCTCACATGGTCCCCAGGACTCTGCCAGGAGTGATCTCTGAACACCAAAGGGTGTGCTCCCCCCGGCCCCAAACAAACCCAAACATCAATTTTCATACTTAATTATTCCCTAAGTAAGTACTTCTCTTATTTTTTTCCTCCGCTACGCCAGCAGTGCTCTGGGCCACTCTGGCTATGTTCAGGGAACCACGCAGGATTCAAACCATCGTTGGTGCTGCAGCTGTAAGCAAGGCAAGTGCCTTAACCCCTGGACTATCTCTCTGGATTTGGGGGGGATTAGGGGTCCAAAACCCAGCAGTGCTCAGAACTTACTCCCGGCTCTGTGCTCAGGAATCATTCCTGGAAGGGCTGAGAAACCATATGTGGTGCCGGGGATAGAACCTGTGTCAGCCACGTGCAAGGTCAGCACCTACCGGCTCTCACTCACTCAGGCCCTTACTCTGCCTGTTCCATCACTGGATCTTTTTTTTTTTTTTGCTTTTTGGGTCATACCCGGCGATGCACAGGGGTCACTCCTGGCTCTGCACTCAGGAATTACTCCTGGCAGTGCTTGGGGGACCATATGGGATGCTGGGAATCGAACCCGGATTGGCCGCACGCAAGGCAAATGCCCTACCTGCTCTACTATCGCTCCAGCACCCCCCATCACTGCTTCGTAATACAGTAACCTGCCTTTCCTGGGGACGTTTGGAGACACTGGGTCACCAGGACCTAGAGTTGGAGGGGGGGAGAGGGGAAAGAGACTCCCGGGACACACTGGGGAATGCTCACCACACCCCTCACAGCAGAAAGGACGGGTCCAGCCCCCAGCGCAGCGCTGATGTCCCACTCTGTCCCCTGGGGCTGGGTCACCGGGCTCCCTCCTGTCCTCACTCCAGCCCGCACAGTCCTGCCTTTACCGCTTAGGACACATGTGGCTCGGGAAAGTCTGGAAGCTTGTTGAGCCTTTCTTCTTCGCACCAAATATGAAGATGGTGTCAGCACCTTCCCTGTGGGGCTGGCGGGTGAGCCGTGAGGAAGCAGGGACTGTGACTCATCCGGATTTGCACTCACAGTGCAGAGCAGAGTATCACAGTGCATGTATCACTGTGACACAGGAGACACACCTGGGGAAGCTCAGAAAGGCCAAGTCCTGGCATGAAAAAAGATTAAATTTCTAGTTTGTGTTTATAAAATCTAAGTTCGAGAGGGTTTGAAACTTACGTCTAACACAACAGCATAAGCAGGTCTTATTTTAAGAAATAGGACGGAATGTTTTAACTTTAGGATAAAAGATACTTTCCTAGTAATAAAAGCTGTAAAGGAAAGACTACTACTATGTGGTCCTATCAACACTAGAAACAAGACTGTTCACGAAAGAAAACGGTAGAGGGAAGCAAAAAGCAGGCACAAATGGAAAGAAAGTCTGGCAGCTTTTCAGTTGCAAAGTAAGATGCGGTATCGAAAATACGTTTTTAAAATTCCTACAAGTTGGGGCTGGAGTGTTAGTACAGCTGGTCAGGTGCCTGTGTTGCACATGACTGACCTGGGTTGGATCCCCAGACTCCTATAGGGTCCCCTGACCCCACTAGGAGTGATCCCTGAGTGCAGAGCCAGGAGTAAACCCTGAGTATCAACACATGTAGCCTCACCAAAAAATAAATAAATAAATAAATAAAATAAAAATTAACCTCCAAATCAATAGTAGAGGGGAAATAACACAACAGCCCTGTCACTGTCACTGTCCTCCCTTTGTTCATTGATTTGCTTGAGCAGGCGCAGTAATGTCTCCATTGTGACACTTGTTGCTGTGTTTGGCTTATCGAATACATCGCGGGTAGCTTGCCAGGCTCTGCCGTGCGGGCGAGATACTCTCGGTAGCTTGCCAGGCTCTCCGAGAGGGGTAGAGGAATCAAACCTGGCTTGGCCTGGCTGGCTGCGCGCAAGGCAAAGGCCCTACCACTGTGCTATTGCTCTAGCCCTAACACAACAGCAAAAGTGAGCAAATATATAAACAGATCTCAGAAAGTGAAAATTAAAGACAATTAAAAAAAGGGAATACTAAGATCATCAGTCCTCACACATACAAAAAAAAAGAGAGAAGGAAAGAAAGAAAGAAAGAGAAAGGAAAAGAGGAAAAAAGAAAAGAAAAAAGAAAAAAAAGAAAAGAAAAGAAAAACAGTCAAAGAAACCAGGGCCCAGGATGACTCAGCAGAGGAGCACCTTCCCAGGAGGTGAAGGCCTCAGATTTGATCCCTGACACCGCCCACATCATGCTCAGTACAACCCCGGCAACGCTACCAGGGCTGACTTCCAGTGCCTGAAACAGTGTGTGGGTTCCAGAGAGTGTGTGAACAGCCAGCGTGTAAACCCTGCCATCACAACGACAACAAAGGAAGGGAAGGCGAAATAAAATTCAAATGTTAAGACAATGAAGGTAATAGAGAGCTAATTCTTCCCACCAGTCCTTGCACCGTGCGATTGAGGGTGGATGCTGGTATACCCGCTTTGGAAAGCAGTTTGGCCAGATCCATTAAATCTCCCTGTATTCTCTCCCTCACTCTCCTTTGCTCTTCACGTCTTGCTGGCACACAGATGCTCCTGCCCTGGGAATCCACACCTCCCAGCATCTCTGAACTGAAGGCGAGTCGCTATGGAGGCACAGTCGCTTCTTGGCTCTCTGGGGAGAGAATGAGGAAATACATGAGCATCCCTGAGCATAGGTGTGTGCTGTGCATACATACATGCATGGGTGTGTGTGTGTGTGCGCACGCGCGCTGTGTGTATGTCTATCTCTGCATGTATGTATCTATTTTCCCATGTGTCAACCTGTTTGCCTTTCTCTCCCCCTCCTCCTCTCTCTTCTGTTGTTTTTGAGCCACACTGGTGGTGCTCTGGGATTACTCCTGAATCTGTGCTCAGGGCACACTCCAGAAGGTGCTCAGGGATCAAACCAGGGTAGGCTATATGCAAAGCAAGCTCCTTACCCCGCTGTGCTAGCTCTGGTCTTCTCTCTCTCTCTCTCTCTCTCTCTCTCTCTCTCTCTCTCTCTCAAGCAGTTTTATCCAATATCAGTGGCCCCAGTCCAGCTTTGTGTCCAGTCTGTTATTTCTTCTTCTTTTTTTTTTTTTTTTGGCTTTTTGGGTCACACTCGGCATTGCACAGGGGTCACTCCTGGCCCATGCACTCAGGAATTACTCCTGGCAGTGCTCGGGAGACCCTATGGGATGCTGGGAATCGAACCCGGGT